ACAGTGGGCCTGTGTTGTTTGTAGCCAGTCTTCACTGGCAGTGTTAGGAGAGACCAGTCACCCACCATAAGGCCACAGACTGAATAACCCACTTCTTCCATTAATGGAAGCAAACTGCTTTGTGAAAACTGGACACAATTTGTGGATGACACAGTGAAGCATGCACAGTTAAGGATTAACACAGAATAATGACTAACTCTTTAACCATTGTGACGTCAAATATGTCTGCATGTAGTATGCACATGTAAATAATGTGCATCAGAAAACAAACAAAACAAATTAACCACATTAACATATTCCACATAAAGGTTTCAACCTTTTTCCCCACAGCATTTTATTTCCATTTGTTTATTTCACACAAGCCGACAATACAGAAAAGTTGTGAATAGTGTGGAAGATTATTGGTTTGGCGAGTTACACCCATCTAGAGCTTGCTAACACCAGTTAACTAAAGGGAAACTGGAAAGATCAGGCGCGGTCTACTTCCTGAAAGCAAGACAGTTGCTCAAACGTCTCATGTGAAGGACTGTTTCAAAAAACGAATGTTTTCAGTCTGTTTGTGTATATTTTCGGTACTCTGACTTGTACAGTTCGACTAACTGTGGCAGTACTTGAAATGTGTACACTAATCGCTTTAGTGAAACGAGAAAATCACATCGGAATAAAACAGCCCAGGAATTACGCGGGCCCCATATGAACACGTTGGCCTAGTTAGCAGATGGCTATCATTACCAGTAGCACAGCGCATTGTAGTTGCTTTACTTTGCTGCAGTTGAATCGACAAACTGACACAAGCCAAACAATTTTATTTAAAAACGGTCTAGCACTCATGGTTTAATACTTTTTTGTATTATCGCTACAAGGTAGCGTACGCTAACTTACGTTAGCTTACCTAGCTTTAGTGCAGTATGGCGTTTTTCGTCATACTCACACCGACTAGGAGCGTTTTTCTGTGACCAATGAGTTAAACATTAAGTTTATTTTTGTTGTAGTACGTATGGCTTCGTATGTATGTGGAGTCGTGTAGTGTTTAGTTTGGGAGCCACGACACGTAGCGCCCGTTGGCTAACGTTTGGCTAACGTTAGCTAGCTAGCGTCTCCTTAGCCGTTAACACGAGACAACAGTGTAAAACTAACACTGCGTATCAGAAAGTTGGCTGCGCGGAAAAACTCAAACGCTGATCTACACCACTTCGTCAACTGCTAATAGGATTACTGAGCAAGTGTGAGATCGCCTGACCCACCCTTTAACAACGAGGGGTTCGGAACAGCGCTCTCCACGGCAGCTTCACAATAAATGTCGTTTGTTTACGCTGATTCCAGAGTTCCCCTGGCCCTCTGCCCCACAACATATCACTCCGCACAGAAGACACTTTTGACACGGAAACATTCAATCTCTCAAATGGCGCCTGAGCAACGCATTTTTATGGCAGCTTACATGTACAAAAAATTATGTTTTGAATAAGATGTATTTACTTAGTTTCTCAAATGAACGTCGAAGACGGACTAGATTCCGCAAGACAGTTTCTTGTTGTAGCTTAAAATACAGGGGGGTTTAATTGTATGGGTATTTTTTTCCTATGCTGGCTGGATGAGTAAATAAAAACACAGCCTATTATTGTGTGTTTAAACCACGCATATTTGCCCCAGCTTGCAAATCACTTATTTCAAATGTAAACAGATTAACTTTTAGTTCTTCAATTGAAAACACAACCCCTTCATTTGTAAATAGTAGCGTCCGTAAAATGCCCGGGACTGCTTTCTTTGCGTGGATTACGGTCCTGTGATTGACTATTGATCTGCCCAATCAGAAAATACCTTGAGCTTAGCAACAGCAAAATTATTCTCTGGTCCAATCAACAAAGAGTAGGGTAGGCTTTAGCGGACTCGAGATCCTCTTAATTGATTGGTCAAGAAGCTCGCCAGTTATGGTAGATTTGTGGGCTATGTAGTTTCGTGCGAAGGTCTCCGCCAAGGCTTCGCCGAAACGAAAACGTCATACCCCACAATCCATCAGGAGTTGAAAGCAGTAGCATGCGCACGGGTAGAGGCGGAGCTGGTATATAAACACGAGCTCCCTCTTCTTGAGCGGCACACTGGACACTGTTGTGACGGCGGAACGCAGTCTCCGGGTGAACGATAACTCTGACAGCATCGAAACAGTTAATGGTAGTTAGCGACAGTTGCTCTGACAAACCCTTGGAGGAGTAACAAGTGTTTACTGTTCGGAAGTTTACTTTTACTTTGCGCGCGTTTGTTTACAAACGCAAACAATCTCAAAAGTTTCTTTAGTGATTACGCGAGATTGTAGAATTTTTTTGTTCAAATTAACGTCTTTTTAACGAACTTTTAAACTCAGTCACGGGAGCATGAATATCATCTAAAATGTGCTAAAGTGGAGCCATAGGAGCGGAACACCAGGATGACTGAGCCAGAGGAGACGACCCATCACCTGAAAACTTCAGCCAGCCCTTCAGGTGGGAGCAGTGGAGACGCGTTGGAGCATCTCCCAGCTAGAAACCATGATGGACCACAAAACGGCGACAGGGGGCGACAGAGCGAGCATAAGCAAGAGCAGCGGGCGGAGAACTGCGAGGATATCAACACAGACAAGTTACGGCAAATGAAAGGCGGGCAGAGGGAGGTGTGCCCTGGGTTAGCAGCCGGAAACGAGGTCCAGAAGTGCCCGATTTCAACTCAGCCTCATCAGAAACGCAGCATCCAAGGAGCGACAGGAGATCACCACTCCACACAGGGAAAAAACGGCCAAGACAGACGGCTGCAGGTACAAGTGGATAGTTTGCACATCGACTCTGATACGGGCTTAGATGCGCGTCTAGGCAAGAAAAGGCACAGGCGCAGGACCTCCAAGAAGAAGCGCCACTGGAAGCCGTATAACAAACTTTCCTGGGAGGAAAAGAAAGCCCTAGAAGAGAAGGAGACTGCCAGAGCTTCGCGCATAAGAGAGGAAATGTTCGCCAAAGGGCTCCCGGTTGCCCCTTACAACACAACTCAGTTCCTGATGGACGAGCACGACCGAGAGGAACCCGACCTCAACACCCAGATGGGGGTCAGGCGGCCTTCTGGGGTCGGGGTTTGCATGGAGGACACTGGCAGCGAGGATGAGGTCTTGGAAAACGAGGACCAGGACTATGATGACGGCAGCGGCGGGGGCAGCGATGGCATCGGGAGGCCCGGGAACGCGGGTGGAGAGTTCCTCCAAAGAGACTTTTCCGAGACCTACGAGATGTATCACGTCGAGAGCCTGCAGAATATGACCAAGCAGGAGCTGGTCAAGGAGTACCTGGAGCTGGAGAAGTGCATGTCCCGGTTGGAGGAGGAGAACAACCGGCTGAGACGCGCCGTGGAGCCCGGGGGTCAGAACTGCTCGGTCCGGGTCAAAGAGATGGAGAAGGAACTGGAGAGACTGAAAGCCCAAAACATGGAGCTGCTCCTGAAGAGCCAGCCCAGCAAGGACAGGGGCCAGGTCGCTACAAATTAAAATCCTTTGGATAAGGTAAAACATGGGACTACTGCATTTTTAAAAGAATTTATCATTTTTTTTGTTTTTCTGTAAGCAGTTTGTCACCTGGACAAAATAAGTAAATATTTGACGTTTCCCTTTCTATTTGAGCTGTTATTGTCCCATTCGGTTATTGTTTTCAAGGAGAATTGTAAATATTTCAAATTTGATTTCTTTTTTTTTTCTTCTTTTTTTTTCTTTTTTTTTTATAAAGAGGTATTTGAAAAGAAATTTCCGTTTGTTCCTCTGCTCAACTTTGTAGGTATCCATTGACATAAACTGTTCTGTTTTTAATTTTAAGAGCAAATATTGTATGTCGGATTATTTTTCTCCCCCCTCCAGAAACTGAACAAGAAGAACTTTCAGCTAATTGGGCCATCCTTTCAGATACATTTTTGCAAAAAAAAAAAGATTTCAGCGTGAACATTTTAACAGTTGTGTGTTATCCTTTTAGTTCCAATAAAATAATATAAAAATTGAAGTTCTGAATCAGACTGCCATGTGTTGTTCAGCCTGTCCTCAAACACAGGAAGCTGCAGCTAGGAGCTGCTGTCCGTGGCTTTGGTCAGATTTCTTGCGAGGATTCCGATATGGGCCAGACACAAGGCATCAGTGGCCTCTGAATGGAAGACCATATGAGAAGGGGGGGATGGGATATGGATGAGATGCTCTTTATGAAAGCTTAGTCCACTCGGAGGTATACAGGAAGACATGCAAGTGGGATTTTATTGTTTATTTTACTGAATTTTCTAGGTTGTAATACAGACACACTGTGGTTATTATTTTTGCAAGTTAAGGATCTGCAGAAAATTGTGTCTTTATTCTGACTTGATAATGAATTTTCTCATCATTACAGCTACCAATCACATAATGTATATTTACACCCCGCCCCCAGTTAAAATTAGTAACTTCACAAGTTTAGGCAGGCCTGATACAAAGAGACATGGCACTCAGAGATTTGTTTTGCAATAGATGGGATAATTATGTAGCAGGGTAGATGGTGGTAGAGGTGTAACTTAAATTTTTATTAAGTTAATTTAGAAATAGCTTGCAAATAAATGCCTAAAGGGGGGTTCCAAAATGTCTGGCGAGTGGTGAGACTTGTTCCTGAAGAGCCTGTGGACAGCCATGCAGACAAGGTTGGTTACTGATCATGTGAGAAGTGCTGCTCATTTGCAAAGCCTAAGAATGTGATGAAAAGTGTGTCTTTACTTTGGTGGGGTCATCCGTTTTAATAGAATCCCATTATTACAGCTGCTACTCACAGAATCCATAAATATTTAAACATTCCCATAAATTAAAATAAAGACCCTCAACACTCCAGATTCCGTTTCCCTTTATGTCTTATTCCTCTTCGAGCCTCTAGGGGGAGCCAGTAAGCTCCTATTTTACGATGCACGCGCTGCAAAATGTGAGGCACATCTCCACTGTAAAAAATGTGTTTTGCGCACACACAAAAGTCACAAACGCAAACACATTTTTTTAAACATAGTTCTGTTTATTTACATCATATAACCTGCTTTTAAGCACACAGCCACGAGGGAAATGAGTTCAGGCGGACAACCATGTTTTTTTTTTTAATTTGTTTTTTTCTTTTAGTCCAGTCATTTTCATATTAGTCATACTCGAAAGCAATTCCAAATGTACACAATACAATATGTTACATATTAAGATAGTATGTACAAAAAAAAGAAACGCTTTTAAAATACAACAACGACACAAAAGGTAAAATCACATTTCAGACTGTCGACGTTTCCCTTTGATGAGGTTTTTGTTCATCTTTAGGAAACTGGATGCTGTCTGGCATGACCTAATGCAGTTGTAGGGTGGGGTGTGTTAGGTGTACCTTATTCACACACTGTGGATTATTAGGCATAGAGAGGTGACCTCAGTTTGTTAAAAAAAACAAAAAAAAAAACAAAAGAAACAGCTGAGAGAATACTATGCTTTTCCCCTCCTCTGTTAAAGGCAAAGGGAGTGCATAGAAGTGTCCTTGGCTTGAAGTGTGCTTTACTTTTCTTTCTTTCTTTTATTTTGTTTTGCACAGCCTCTCTGTTAGACTGCTTGTATTTAATGTACACATCTTTGGGTCAGTGCCTCAATTATACCGTCAACCACAGCAGAGGAGGGGAGGAGACCCAGAAATAACAAAAGGAAATGGAAGGATAAGAACAGAGCATGGCACTGCAGAACAAAAACACATTCCAGAAATCAGGCACTTGTAGAAAAAACCTTGAGGTAAGACGAGACTAGAACCTATTTATTATTATCATTCTTCTTCTCTTTCACTGGGTTATTATTTGGTCGCAAGGAAACAAGCGAGCCTTTTGTGACTTCTGAATTTGCACCTCTCGCTCGGGTCGTGTTTTTTTCGCTACTGCAAATTGGTTCTGCGGTCAAGACGAGACAGAAACAACAGACTCTTGTTCTTCTTTTTTCATTTCCTCCAACGTACCATTTCCCCACTCAGGGAAGATTTATTAGAACCTGACCTTGTGTGCTGAAAACACCAAAAAAAAAGAAAAAAAAAGAAAATCCTAAACCAGTCTGTTAAACACTGTCAGGCATCTTCTTTTGAGCTCCTGTGTTCAGTGAATATGAGCTGATCTGTTGAGGCAATGCTCAGTAATCCCACACTTGAAGCCCTGGCGGCATGATCAGCTGTCTGCAAACTGTCCGATATCACATAATAATTACCTGATTAAAATTCAGAACTTGCTACATGTTGTTACTACAGAGTGTTTTGTACATTTTGTGTGACTAGCCACGAGATAATCTTTATTATAAGACTTATCTCGTGAGATAAAGGTTTCCTGCACAGTGCTGTGAATCAGAAAGGCCATCTATGAGGAAATAAGGAATACGTTTAGTCTTGTTTATCTCGTCTCCTTTAAACAGGTACACCCAAGAGGTGAAATTGCAATAAATTTTACTTTAATACAAAATATATATATTTAATATATATATATATATATATTGAATATAAAACAAAAAACAAATAATATATTAAGGGAAACATTTCAAGTAACATCTTGAAAACAAAACCAAACAAAAAAACGACTGTGCACTTATTTGCACTTTTGTAAACCTTAAAAAAAAAGACCTAAAAAAAAAAGTACAAACAAATATTATAACATAATATTTATATTTACAGGGTTAACTTAACAAGGCTTTGTACAAATGTTACAAAAATCGTTTAACACAAACACCTGCACGTTTAGACATGGTCACGAATATTTTTGGGCAAACACACATAAGCATTATTAACAAGTAGAGGGAGACAACTGCATTTCATGTGTTTGGGAGCTGAAGTTTGGTGGAGTTTTACAGTGTGAATGGTCAGAGGGGAAACGTAAGGAAGACTGATATGACGAATCAGTTGTTTGCCCTCCTGAAATGGTTTTATATGATTTTTTATTTTTTTTAATAAATGTAGAAGCTGCATTTCAGCATCCTCGTCTAGTCGATTAAACTTTTAATTTACGTGATCTGTGATCCAGACAGGAAGGAAGAGAAGACAAGAGGGATGCTCAGTTGTTACTCGAATCAGAATTCTTGGCTCTTACGTCGACCGTGATGACGTCTGTTTGTGTCTCTGTCCTATCGTTTCTATAAGAGCACACTTAAAGGAAAAAGAAAATGAAAGCTTTGGCAACACTGGAACGCACCCTGCCATGCAAACGGAGCTCAATGAAAAGTAAAAAAACAACAACAACAACAATAACAAAAAAGGTGGGCCGTTTTTCACCTGTCCACCAACCACATCCCCGTTTGCACTGCTGCCAGTTTACTGACCTGCAGGCCGTCAGCAGCTCAGCTGGACATCCACTCCCCCATCCCTACGCACAAACTGAGAATCAGCAGCTTTGGCCTCTTTTCTTGGAGCGGTGGTTGGGGTCAGGGTTCAAAGGTACTGGTGGAAATTGGAGGTGGGTGCTTGACGTGTAGCGGGTCCTTGGTCGAGACCTTCTGCATCCCGAGGCAGCCCTTGTGTTTTGACCTGGTTTTGATTGATAGGAGACAAGGGGAACTCGCTGACAATCAGCTGGGGTCTTTTATCGGACATCTCAGTCGGGGAAGCCACCACAGTGTGTCTGCGCCAAGCCCGCTTCTTCCTGCGCGTCTCGGGTGACGGTGGTTTCCGCAGTCCGACGCGGTGCAGGTTGTCAGCTGAGCCTAGCAGTCGGGCGCGGACCTGATCGGCCAGCGACTTCCCGCCCGGGCCGGTCGGAGTGAAGGAAGCGGCCTCGCTGGGCAGCGCGGCAGGCTTGGGTCGGGCTGGGCGCAGACTCTCCTGGCTGCTGCCTGAGGAAGTGTTGGTTCTGGAGGTATCCCTCTTTGCTGTGGGTGCACCTTCCGTTCCTGAGCCGGAGCCCTCGGATGGAGCCGTGCCCTCGGGAGACTCCATCAGGTCCGGGGAGCGAGTCTTGTTTTTCTCAGACTTCAGCTTCCTCCTGGCCAGAGTGTCGCACTGGATCAGCTTGTGGGAGTTAAAGGAAGGCCGCGAGTGCAGTCTGTGAGTGGTGGAGGAGGACGAGAAGGAGGAGGTAGAAGGTGTGGTGGAGCGGGCCCCTCCGTCGCTCCTCTCCGCGGAGTCTGGTGTCTGTGTGAGGGAAGCGGGTGGGGTGAGAATGTTACTGGTTGACAGAGCGGGGCTTTTGTAGTGTGTGTAGAGAAAGCTCCGCGGCGGCGCCAACAGCTGCGTGTTTACAGGTGGCGTCGGGTGTTTGTCGGGTCTCTCCTGTGTAAGAGAGCGCGAGGCGAAGCCGCTCTCGTTATCCGTCTCGCTCACCAGCTCGCTGTGTTCATCGTCAGCATCGTCCCCCCTCCCCTCAGATCCCAAGCTCCGCCCTAAAGTAGAGAGGGTGGAGTAACCTGAAACTATAGAGCGAGCATCCTCTGGAGCTCGCCACTGAGGCCCCTTCACCTCCGCCTGCACCTCCTCCTCCTCGTTTAACATGGCTGCCTGCCTTCCTCCCGCCTCCTCTTCCACTTTACAGGACAACCGATTGGGTTTCACGGCCGGCTCCTCTTGTCCCTCCTCTTTCACTCCGCTCTCTACAACTTCCTCATCCTCCTCCTCCTCGTCCTCTTCTTCCTCTTCGTCATCATCCTCCTCTCCCTCTGCTCGAGGAGCAGTGTCTCCTACTGGCGACTCCACCTCCTCTTCCTCTCCTGCCCCTAAATGTCCAGCTTTGATCGGCTCATGCTCAGAGTCGTCGTCGGTGCTGCTGCCCACGCGGCGGGCGTTATGGCGCTTCCTGCGTTTGCGGCCAGTAACCGCTGACATGATGGACAGAGCCAGGAATTCCTTGGCTGTGAGGTCCTTCTTTGACCCCCACGACCCCTGAAAAAGCAGGAAATGTTACTGCTGAATCTGTGCGTGCAGGAGGTTGGACAATCAGGCTTGCTTCATGTGAGGAGAGGTTACCTTTGATTTCGCTGAATCACTGTTGGTTGAATCTGGGAAAAAGGAAATGGAGACATTTGTGGGTCAGAACGGACGAAGTAAACAAAAGGCCAGAACAGTCATGGCGGAGGACACAGAGGGAGTTGCTGTGATCATCACTTATTTTTTAAAAGGAAAAAAACAACAATAAATAAAATAACTGCTCCTGCACTGCTCCCTGTATGTTCCTACAGACTTTAATGCTGATTTTGCTATGAAGCAGGTTGTTTTCCATCAGGTGCAAAGTGGACAACACCGCCTGGGACATTGCTTCTTTCCGTGCGGCTAATTTTTGGATAAAATTGTGTTTATTGTCAGAAAACTGCAAAAAGTTTTAATCAGTACTTCACATGTTGCAGGCAGTGGTTCATTCTGTGCTGTTTTTATGGTGATGGATGCTTCAGGGACTAACGCCGAGGTCATGGCAACCTGTCTGGGGTCAGGGTTAATTTTGTTTGGTCACATACCAAATAGGAAACATTTTCATAAACAAGAAGATGTTAGATTTCCTATAAGGTCTAATACATTTTGACAGCATTAGACTCTTTTTTCTTGTAGAGGAACATTTTGTTAAAAGAGTGCAAGTTAACTAAGCCCCTATAAAGGGGTCGACAATGACCTGGCAGATGCAGATGGAACAGTTTTGATTGGATTAAATTTATGCATATGATGTTCTGCTCCTTAACCTTAAATGAAAAAAAAAATCACAATTGCATCTCTATACAACGGTTTATTCTGCAGTGAGCAGTGCAGCTGCAGTTGTATCTCCAATTCCTGTGATGGATTTCTAAAGGAACTTGTTTTCCTCTGTGGCCTCGGACCATAACGAGAACAAAGACACCGAATCACACACTGGAGTTGTGTTCAGGGAAAACAATGATTGGGGGGGGGGAAGCAGGGTTTGGTGTTGGAGGAGAAACCTCATTAGAAAAATCACGGCACACACTGATGACATCACGAAAAACACGGATGGCATCGGTCAGTGAAAGAAGCAGTACGAAAAGAAACACATTCCTCACAAATGAATGCAGGAATGAAGCCCTGGATTTGTCTTTCGTGTATCGTAGTAAAGGGAACACCCAAATCTCGTGAGAAACCGGCGAGGGTTGGTAAGGTTTTCTGGATGGAGCTGTTTCTCAGGGAGTCAGCAGTAATGATCACGTCAGTGTATTTTCTGCTCAGCTTAGAGAAGTTTTCTCGTTTACTAGAAAGCTGGTGATGACCTTCAAAATGTAACACAGCCTTTCTTACTGCTACACTAACATCACTTACCAACTACAATTCTGATACACATAGGACCAACGCATTTTTTACTAATGCATTACTAACACATTACTAACACATTACTAACGCATCATGCCAACCCAAACTGGCTTTAGCATATAAAGAAACTACTGTCACTATTTACAATTAGAGAGCAAAGTAAGAAATGAACCGACTGCGCCTGGATTTAGAAAATTTGGAAATCACCCATAAAACCAACAACACATGAGTTCTATTATTGAAAATCTGGCCTCTTAAGTTAACTATGGCGACAGCTATGAGCGGACTTTATAGACAGAAACAATTAAATATTAACAGACGACCCTTTTGAATCGTTTTCATCTGAACTTTTCTAATGTGAGGATCGCAGGATTTCTGTTGTTTCTTCTTGAACATTTTTTTGTTTGTTTTCATCTGTATAATTCTGTTGATTAGTATAGATTTGGTATACGTTATTAGGATATTACACATGTTAAATATGAATTTGTTGGGTAGGATACTTGAGTATTCTCTCCATACCATCACTGGTGATGATCCCAGTCCGAGCTTTGAACCCTGACCCTATGTTTGGAGACAAGCAAAAATACTTTTGGAAAAAAATTGGATTTTTCTTTGGCCTTGATTGAAAAGACATTCTAGTAGCACGGGGTTAAAGTGAAGGCTAGGATCATCACTGATGATAACTTAGATCTCAGGGGTAAGGCAAAGTGAAGCTCAAGTGCAGCCTTGGCAGATTAACCAATCTCAGTACAAGCTTACATCAGCTGATACATTTCTAGGCAAATCTCATATAAGGCGCATAATTTAAGCCGCTTTGCAACCCATCTCCACCCCAGCTGTTCTTTTTGCAATGTGTTTGACTACATGAGTACCACATCCTTTGCAACTGAAGCCAGGTCTGCTGCTCTTCCTGCTTGTATGCAGGCTGGCTGTTAGGAAACCTCAGAACAGACTACAGTAGTCCTGACTCAAATACAGTTATATGTTGCCCTACATAGCAACTTTACAGTTTGACAAGCAAGTACGGAACAAACTGTGAATGTAATTTTCCTAATAACCTTATTTTGCATATATTTTTTTAAAAGATAATAATTTGAGATGCTTTGCTTGTTACCATATATGCCAGTGCCACATTAGACATTCCTAGTTCACACTGTGCCGATAATACATGAGAGGACACGTCTCTGTGAGTCCACCCCAAGTAATTAGCTAAACAGACTTCCTGTTACGTCTGCACTCACTTTGGCTACAAGGAGGGAGCTTCCAGCTGCCATCTTGAAGCTTTTACACAAAATATTTTCTTTTGAAGGGATAATGAAACAATGAAACAGCACCATGCAGAGTCCTTTTAGAGGCAGAAGTGGGGTTAGGATTTTTACGATGGGGCCACACAGACCGAAATTGCCTGTAGGATGAGTGCAGCGCAGTGCTCGGCAAGGCACAGGCCACCAGTGAAGGAGTTGTCTCTCAGTGACAGAGCACAGTTTACACTCCGGTGTCAGATAAAGCAGCTTTAACACTCAGAGAGCATCCA